TCTTGGTTTTATTTTTTTTTAATTTATTTATTTATTAAGGATTTCTGCCTTCTCTCCGCCACCGCCTCCCATTTCCCTCCCCCTCCCCCCGATCAAGTCCCCCTCCCTCATCTGCTCGAAGAGCAATCAGGGTTCCCTGACCTGTGGTAAACCCAAGGACTTCCCACCTCTATCCAGGTCTAGTAAGGTGAGCATCCAAACTGCCTAGGCTCCCCCAAAGCCAGTAGGTGCAGTAGGATCAAAAACCCACTGTGATTGTTCTTGAGTTCTCAGTATTCCTCATTGTCCGCTATGTTCAGCTAGTCCAGATTTATCCCATGCTTTTTCAGACCCAGGCCAGCTGGCCTTGGTGAGTTCCCGAAAGAACATCCCCATTGTCTCAGTGTGTGGGTGCACCCCTTGCGGTCCTGAGTTCCTTGCTCGTGCTCCCTCTCCTTCTGCTCCTGATTTGGACCTTGAGATTTCTGTCCGGTGCTCCAATGTGGGTCTCTGTCTTTGTCTCCTTTCATCGCCTGATGAGGGTTAATATTCAGGAGGATGCCTATGTGTTTGTCTTTAGATCACCTTCCTATTTAGCTTCTCTAGGAACATGAATTATAAGCTCAATATCCTTTATTTATGGCTAGAAACAAAAAGTGAATTGCTTATAGCTTCCAATTTTTTGTGTGACTTTTCCTGAATTTCTTTAAGGGAATTTCTCACTTCATAAAAAAAAAAAGAATTTCAAACATTATCTTGAAGTTATTTTTAGGTCATTTTCTTCTGGTTCATCCATATTTAGTTGTTCAGGTCTTGCTGTTGTAGGGTCTTTAGATTTTACTGGTGTTGTGTTGCTCTTTGTGGTGTTGCATGTGTTCTTACATTTTCTACTCATCTTTTCCTTTAATAGGTGTGGTTGGGTCTGTCTGAGATTCTGTTGAATAATCTTCTAGGTGACAGTGAATCCAAAGTTCAGATGGTTGTTCCTTGTGGTACAGTCAGTGTCACAGTTCTAGTTATCCTGTTGGTTACCCCTGATCTGGGAGTTAGCTCAGCACTCCTGTGCTTTGCTCTGCTCCCTTGGAGTTTGCTGTCTCAGGCCTACTTTGGCATAAGTTGCTGGCTTTGATCTATTTCTGTAAATCCTCCTGCAGAAGTCCCTGGCTTGTAGGTGGACCTGTTCTGGAGGAGATTGCTGACTCTGGATCTGGTTGCTGGCTCAATCATGATCCACCAGTGTTCTAGGACTGGGTTGTCTCCTGGGACTGGATTTGCTCCTGGTTTCTGCACCCAGTGGAGTTTGTTTTCTGATGGATGATCTTTTTTTGATGTGTTCTTGGATTCGGTTTACCAATTTTTGCATCTATGTTTATAAGTGAGATTGGTCTATAATTCTCTTTCTTGGTTGAGTCTTTGTGCAGTTTTGGTATCAGAGTAACTGTAGCCTCATAAAAAGAGTTTGGCAATGACCCTTCTGTTTCTATTATGTGGAGCACTTTGAACACTCTGGTAGAATTTTGCACTAAAACCATCCGGCCCTGGGCTTTTTTTTTTTTTTTGAGAGGTTTTTGATGGCAGCTTCTATTTCCTTGCAGCTTATAGGTCTATTTAATTGTTAACCTGGTCTTGATTTAATTTTAGTATATGGTATCTATCTTAAAAAATTGTCCATTTCTTTTACATTTTCCAATTTTGTGGAGTACAGGTTTTTGTAGTAAGACCTAATGATTCTCTGAATTTCTGAATGTCCCCCTTTCCATTTCTGATTTTGTTAATTTGGATGTTCTCTCTCCACCTTTTGATTAGTTTGGGTAAGGGTTTGTCTATCTTGTTGATTTTCTCAAAGAACCAGGTCTTTGTTTCATTGATTCTTTGTATTGTTTTCTGTGTTTCTATTTTGTTGTGTTTAGCTGTCAATTTGGTCTTTTACTGCTCCTGGGTGAGTCTTTTTTTCTAGAGCTTTCAGGTATGCTGTTAAGTCACTAACATGAGCTTTCTCCATTTTCTTTATGTGGGCACTTAGTGCTATGAACTTTCCTTTTAGCACTGCTTTCATAGTGTCCCCTAGGTTTGGATATGTTGTGCCTTCATTTCCGTTGAATTGAAGGAAGACTTTAATTTCTTTATTTCTTCCTTGATCCAAGGGTGGTTCAGTAGTTGACTGTTCAGTTTCAATGAGTTTTTAGGCTTTCTAGGAGTAGTATTGTTGTTAAATTCTAACTTCACTCCATGGTGATTCGATAAGACACAGGGGGTTAGTCCAATTTTTTTGTATCTGTGGATGTTTGCTTTGTTACTGAGTATGTGATCAATTTTAGAGGTTTCATGAGGTTCTGAGAAGGTATAATCTTTTTTGAGTGGAATGTTCTATAGATGTCTGTTAAGTCCATTTGAATAATTACATCTGTTAGTTCTCTTATTTCTCTGTTAAGTTTCTGTCTGGTCGACCTGTCCATTGATGAGAGAAGAGTGTTGAAGTATACTATTAATGTGTGGGGTTTGATGTGCGATTTAAGTTTTAGTAATGTTTCTTTTACATATGTGGGTGCTTTTGTATTAGGGGCATAGATATTCAGGATTGAGACTTCATCCTGATGAATTGTTCCTGTCATGAGTATAAAGCATCCTTTTCCATCTCTTCTGACTGATTGAGTTTGAAATCAATTTTGTTAGATATTAGGATAGCCACACCCCCTTGTTTCTTAGGTCCATTTGATTGGAAAACCTTTTCCCAACTCTGAGGAGTGTCTGTCTTTGAAGTTGAGGTGTGTTTCTGGTAAACAGCAGAATGTTGGATTCTATTTTCGTCTCCATTCTCTTAACTGGGCCTTTTCATAGGTGAATTGAGCCCATTGATATTAAGTGATATTAATGATCAGTGGTAAACTCCGGTTATTTTTCAGTAGTGTTTGTGTGTTTTCTTTGAGTTATGCTGGTGGAGAGTTATCAGATGTCTCTGTTATTGTGGGTGTAGTTAGCTTCCTTGGGTTGAGATTTTCCTTCTAGTACTTTCTGTAAGGCTGGGTTTGTGGATACGTATCGTTTAAATCTGTTTTTGTCATGGAATATCTTGTTTTCTTGATTGATGGTGAAAGCAAGCTTTGCTGGGTATAGTAGTCTGGGCTTGCATCCATGATCTCTTAGTGTCTGCAGCACATCTATCCAGGACCTTCTGACTTTCATGGTTTCTATAGAGAAATCAGGTGTAATTCTGATAGGTTTACCTTTATATGTTACTTGACCTTTTTCCTTTGCAGCTCTTAGTATCCTTTCTTTATTCTGTATGTTTTTTCAACATTGTTAGATTTTATTCATTGAACCTTGTCTTAACTAATGATTGCTGTTTGCTTTTCTGTTTATAAAGAATGTCATTTGGAGGCCTATACAGTCAGATTTAGTACAGAAAACATTACAAAAGTCCAATCCTTCAGTCTCATGCTGTATTCTCGATTGTTCATTGTAGCTGGATAAGAATTCTTGAATTCTTTTTTTTTTACTTAAAAATTTCCACCTCCTTCCCCCTCCCCCATTTCCCTCCCCCATCCCCCTCCCTCTCCAGTCCAAAGAGCAGTCAGGGTTCACACCAAATCAAGTTGGACTGGGACTGATGGAGCATATGATCAAACCGGACTCTCTGAATGTGTCAGACAAGGAGGGCTGACTGAGAAGCCAAGGACAATGGCACTGGGTTTTGATCCTACTCCATGTATTGGCTTTGTGGGAGCCTAGTCTGTTTGGATGGTCACCTTCCTAGACCTGAATGGAGGAGAGGAGGACCTTGGACTTCCCACAGGTCAGGGAACCCTGACTGCTCTTATTCTGTATGTTTTATGTTTTGATTATTATAAGATGAGGGGATTTTTTTTTATCCTATTTGGTGTTATGTAACCTGTAAAACTCCCTGTACTTCTTGTACCTTCATAGGGATATCCTTCTTTAGGTTGAGAAAGTTTTCTTTTATGTTGAATATATTTTCTGGGCCTTTGAGCTGGAGTTCTCCTTCTACCCCTATTATTCTTAGGTTTGGTCTTTTCATGGTGTCCCAGATTTCCTGAGTGTTTTAATTTATTGTATTTAATGTTTTCTTTGACCAATGTGTTTATTTCCTCTATATATCTTCAGCACCTGAGATTCTTTCTTCCATGTCTTGTATTCTTTTGGTTATACTTGTCTCTGTAGTTCCTGTTCATTTACCCAGATTCTCCATATCCAGAATTCCCTCGGTTTATGTTTTATTACCTATATTTCAGTCTTCAAGTCTTGAACTGTTTCCTTCACCTGTTTGTTTTTTCTTGGTTTTCTTGGTTTTCTTTGAGGGATTAATTTCTTCTAACTTTTTGTCTTCTCTTTCATTTCTTTTTTTTTAATTTTTTAAATTTTTTTTTTTATTGAGAAAAGGAAAAAAAAAAGTTTCCGCCTCCCCCTAGCCTCCCATTTCCCTCCCCCTCCTCCCACCCTTCTCCTCCTCCCCTCACTCCTCTCCCCCTCCCTCTCCAGTCCAAAGAGCAGTCAGGGTTCCCTGCCCTGTGGAAAGTCCAAGGTCCTCCCCCCTCCGTCCATGTCTAGGAAGGTGAACATCCAAACTGGCTTTCATTTCTTTAAGGGAGTTTTTCACTTCCTCTTTAAAGGTCTCCATTATTTTCATAAAGTTACGTTTAAAGTCATTTTCTTCTACTTCTGGGTTAAGATGATCAAGTCTTCCTTTTGTGTGTCTGCTGGGTTCTGGTGTTACCATGTTGCTTTTTAGGATATTGAAGGAATTCTTGCTTCGGCACCTACCCATCTCTTCGTTCAAATGAGGCCAGAGTGTCTTGGTGTCTTGGTTCAATCCTTGTTGTTGCTGTCTCTTAGATCCCCTCAGTATTAGAGGAAGCTGTGTTTCAGGGTTCCATGAAGCTCACAGGCAAATAGGTGGGTTTGGGGGCAGGCTGAGTGGGGGAATAGACTAGACACAGGAAAACTCCCCGTTGGCTGGCTAGAAAAGCTGAGGGAGCTGGAGAGAGGCCCCTGGGTTTTGTCCCATGGGGAGATCTTAGAGAGTGGGGCGTCCGGCTGCCTGGCCCTGTGGCTGTTAACATATCTTCCAAGACCCCTCAGTACTGGAGCAATCTGTGTTACAGTGTTCCACTGAGCTCACAGGCGAGCAGGCGGGTGTGGGGGCAGAGTGGGTTGGGGGATAGTTCAGCTGCAGGAATATTCCCTGCTGGCTGGCTCTTAGATGCCCTCAGTATTGGAGCAAGCTGTGTTCCAGGGTTCCACTGAGTTAGCGGGCAAACAGGCAGGTCGGCTTTTAAATATCTTTTAAGCGTAATTTTTATTATATGTTCTACAATTGAACATGTTGCTTTCATAATAATAAAAAAGTTTGCCATCTTTCTAAAAAATAACCACCAAGCAGATTACAGTATATCTACCAATTAATCTACTATTAAAAGAGTATTTACTAATATGAAAAAAATTCTGATGTTAGTGGCTGACCATATGATCAGACAGTATGCTCAGAATGATCCCAATTTCATTTAAAAACAAAAGCCTCTGAATACATTAAAAAAACCTACATATGAAATATACCAAAGCATAGCGTTTATGTGGTAGAAATATATATATGTATATTAAACCATTTTTGCATCTGTATTTAGCCAATTTTCCTCTACTAAATATGAATTTTTTTCTAACTAGCAAAAAAAGGTTGTTTTTTTTTTAAAAAATCTAGGTTAAATAAGAAGTTATCTTGTTAAATAAAATGAATAAAGTTGATGAGCAAACAGAAAGGTCCTCCTACTGAGGCTTCAAGCTCTACCCATATAAGTGTCAGTCTTGAAGCCCTATATATGCTCCAAGTAAGTGTTCACCACTGAGCTACATCACTAACCTTGTATGAAGCCTCTAAGTCAGACCCTGGTGAAGGGTCTAGAGAAAAAGAAAGTAGAGTTATGAGTCTGATTACAAGGAAACATGATTTTCAATCAAGTGATTATGGAAATGCACTATTTATATTACACATAACACACTCACTAGGGAATTATACTCTCGGATCTGGTGGAACTCTGAGGTTATTAAAAGACAATTTTCAAGACATTGCCTTCAAGGGTGTCACGTCAATATTGACTAGAAACAATATCAGAGAAAACACACTAGATAAGTAAAAAGCTCAAAGCTTAGCTTCCTGTTTATATACTCTGAAGTCACTTTACTGCTAGCCACAACATGAGCTGACATTCTGATTTAATCTAATTTCTTGACTTTCATATATACTAAATGAGACTATGAAGAACAGCTGTAAAGCCAGAAGATACAGGAGGGACAGAAATACAGACATGTGTCCTCTAGCCCAAACAATGAGATAGCTATGGAACTAAATTATCAGTTCAATCTAATTCCAGATCGCTGTCTTCACTATGACAGGTGGCAGAGTTTCGAACAGATGTCAGCACCAAGACTTCTTTTTCTGGGAGCAATCCAAATTCCTGTAGGAAAGCTTCAAGGTCTACAGCAAAGAAGTCTTCCCCCAGCTGGTCAGTGACACGAACAAAATTGCCAATTAATTCACCCGCCTTGTAGATGAGCAGAGCAGGAAGGGCATTCCGGGTAAAACGACTGCTGGCCCCAATAACTGAGCTCCTCACTCGGCAGAATTTGACAGCCGGGTACTCTGTGGCAAGGCAGAGCATACAGCCATTCATGGCTTCAGTCCCCGGGATGCCATCTTCATAAATATGAACCATGATAAGGGTGTTTTTCTGTTCTTTATCAATCATGTCTAAAAATCCTTCTCCACTGGGAATCTCAAAAACTTGCTTGAACTGGGGCCCTTTATGAAACTGCTGCCTCATCTCTTCCATTCTCTGCTTCCGGTACTGCTGCAGAAACTCTTCGTCATCCAGGGTCTTGTCTACTGTAGCAAACTCCTTCAGAGTCATCTGCAGGAAGACCAGCAGGTGAACAAAAACAGATATTAAACAGTTTAATCAATGTGGATATGGACCCTGTAGTTAGAACACATAAGGAGCCACGTTAATGTCTTATGCACATTATGTCATTCTTCTATGTACAGAGGTGTGTTATATGTGCACCATGTGCATGCTGGTGCTTGTGGAAGACAGAAGAATGCATTGGATCCCCTGGAACTGAAGTTAGAGGTTGCAAGTTATCACATGGGTACTGGGAACCAAGCCTGGGTTGTCTACAAAAACAAGTACTTTTAAAAGCTGAGTCATCCTTCTGGACCATCTTGATTTTAAATTACATTTACACTCAGAGGGCAGAGGGCATGCCCATACCTTTATGCTCCTATGGAAGGTAGAAGACAACTTGTAGGAGTTAGTTCTTTCCTACCATATGGGGCCCAGGAATTTTTTTTTTTCTCTTTAAATTGGGTTCTTATTATGTTGCCTGGACTAGCTCTGCTATGGTCTCACAAGTAATTGGTAGTACATGCCCTGGCCGTCACCCTTGAGTTTACCTATCACTGAATTCTATTAATGTAGGTTTAACTACAAGAGTTTACATTATTTGCACAAATTCACACAAGTATGGAGTACAAGACGAAGATTCAAACTAGACTCTTTTTAAAGGTTTATTTTTATTACTTTTAATTATGTATATCTATGTGTCTGTGTGGGGGTATGTGAGTGCAGAGGCCTGCAGAGTTCAGAAGAGGGTGTCAGATTCCCAGGAGCTAGCATTACACAGTTTTACCCCACCATGTGGATTCTGGAAACAGCACTGGGGTCTCTGTAAGAACAGTGCCCATTCTTATGCACTGAACCATCTCTCTAGACCCTTACGCTGGATTTTAGAGACTTAGGTTTTTAACAATACCATATTGTCTCTCATTCCAAACAGGCAACTTCACAGAATATCAGCTCTCTGATGGACACTCTTTCTGTCATAATGTCTCTCATTCCAAACAGGCAACCTCACAGAACATCAGCTCTCTGATGGACACTTTTTCTGTCAGCCTCGCCAAGCATTACTTTAGTCACTTGATCCTTCTGAAAAGACAACGCGATTAAACTTCCAAAGGAACACACCTCATTGCTGCTTTGCACATGCATTCACATGACACAAACTCTAAACTTCCTTTTTTTTTTAAGATTTATTCATTTTATATGTGAGTGTTTTGCCTGCACGTATCTATGAACACCAAATGAGTGATTGGTACATTCCAAAGTCAGCAGTAGACACTAGATCTCCTGGAACTAGAGTTATGGATGGCTGTGACTTACTATGTAGGTGCTGGAAATCAAACCCAAGTCCCCCACAAAAACATGTGCTCTCAACCACTGAGCCAGCTCTACAGCCTGTTTTTTTTTTCTCTTTTTTGAAACACGGTTTCCCTATGTAGAACAGGCTGGCCTGGTAAGCACTATATAGATCAGGTTGGCTTCAAACTACTAATGCCCCCATCTGAGCCTCCCATGTACTACCAAGCCAGCTTTTCTATCTGCTAGTCAAGTGACTGTAGTTGTCTTGCCTCTGTAGCAGCAACAGCTGTGGGTATCGTAACCTGCTTTTGTCTCTAGTTAATGTTAGCAATACTTTATATTGTTATATTAATATATATATTAAAGGTGGTGATGCACACCTTTAATCCCAGCACTCAGAAGGCAGAGGCAGGTGGATCTCTGCAATCTACGGCCAAGTTTACACAGTGAGTCTCTATCTCAAAAAATTAAAAAATGTCCTCGTGTTTCCAAACACTTTTATAAACTGATACATGTATGTCATACTTAACCTTTCCCCCAGCCTCATTTCTGCCAACTAGGCAGTTTTCAATTCTGGTCTATTATAGGCAACTCAACAAGATGGAGACAGAATCTCTCAAATCTGACCTATGTGGTCATATGACTATTGGTTCATTCTGCTCTTTCTGTTCATTTGCTGTGAGCAGCAGGCACAGTGTGCTACAGCCAGCTTCCCTGACAAATATCTTTCTCCTGGCCTGGTACAACAAGACATCTCTTCCTAATCTTGTATAGACTAGGGGTGGTAACCAGATACCACACTAGAGCAGAACACTGGGTCAGTACTGTGTCATAACAAACCAGTATCCTTCTAGACTCTGTCTTATTACCAATCTTCTCATCACATTAACCTGAGACTGTCTTATTTGGCCAACCTAACTGGGTCTTTTAGCTGATACACTATTTTCCAGGTTTTATGTCCAGAAATCATTCCCCAACTCTCGACTTAATGCTTTATCTGCACCCTTAAGTTGAATGATTTTTTAAATTTTTGTTTTATTGGTTGTTTTGTTGTTTTTTGTTTGGTTGGTTGGTTTTGGTTTTTCCAGACAGGGTTTCTCTATAGTTTTGGAGCCTATCCTGGAACTTACTCTGTAGACCAGGCTGGCTCCAAACTCAGAGATCTCCACCTCTGCCTCCCAAGTGCTGGGATTAAAGGTGTGTACCACCATCGACTGGCTACTGGCTGATATTTTTAAATGTCAACTTACTATCACGGTGTGTGCATATGCATGCACACAGTGAATGTGTGGGTACATGGTTACAGTGTGCAGATGGGGGTCAGAGGACAGCTCTGTGGATCTGGTTCTTTCCTCCCACCTTTATATGGGTTCTGGGAACTGAACTCAGGCCACCAAGCTTGCAAGGCAAGCACCTTTCCTACTGAGTCTTCTCACTGACCCCTTTGCTTGATATTTTTAGCTTTAAGCCACAGTTAATTGATCTTAGGTACTATAGTACATTTCTTCCTTGGTCAGAGAGAACAAGAGAGCCTTTAAATATTGATAAGGTAAGGAGTTGTCAGGAACCTGGACTCAAATATCTCCTAGTTCTACTATACTGCCTCAACAAAATAAATGTCCGTGAATATGATTAAGAAACTAATAGATACTCCACTTTCAACAGGCCAGTCCTTAACATGGATATTTGACCTGCAGAACCCTGGGGAGCTCAGCCAGCGCTGAGCTGAGACCAAACCCAGATGCATGCTGAATTATGACAGGGTTCTCCCCTTTGCCCTACACTGCAAAGCTCAGAAGTCAAATTCAACTTCCTCCCCTTCCTGAATCACCAAGCCCACTTTCAGCAGTCAGGAAGTGTCAGAAGATGTCATTACCTTCCCACTGATTTTCTCCTGGAGGTCCTTCTGTTTCTGCTGCTCCTCCTCTTCGTCCAGATGGGACCTGCAGGTCATAGACAGCTTTTTGATCAGCCGCTCCATCTCCCGGCACTGCTCTTCCCTCTGCTCTGTCTCCAACTGCTTGAAGCGGCGCCAGTCATTGATCACACCTTTTGGACCTGAGTAGGGCAAACATGACCAAGAACAGACAAGGGCTTTAGACCAGCTGACATCTATAAACAGGGACTTACATCAGCAGGAAGCTTGCTCAATCTATTACACAGCAGGAGCCTCCATATATCCTTATACAGGGCAGAATGTTCTACATACAATGAGTTCTACTATAATATAATTTGCAGGAATTAAAAGGCCAACCTAATGCCCAACAATGGGCAGATTATTATTCATTTACTAAAAGGTAAATAAAAAACATTTAGGAAGGTCAAGGTAATTCTAGACAGAGCTTGGTGGCTCATGACTGCAATGCAAGCATTCCATACTCAGAAAGATCAAATATTCAGTCAACCTGAGGTATAAGATCCTTCCTCCAGGCAATCTTACCAAAAGCAATCTACAGTTTCAACGCAATGCCCAGCAAAATTCTTCAAAGACCTCAAAAGAATGGTACACGATTTTATATGGAAAAGCAAAAAAACCAGGATAGCCAAAACAATCCTGTACAATAAAAGAACTTCTAGAGGCATCATAATCCCTGACTTTAAACTCTACTACAGAGCTACAGTACTGAAAACAGCCTGGTATTGGCATACAGACAGGAGGACCAATGGAACCAAATAGAAGACCTGGATATCAATCCATACATCTTCGAATACCTGATTTTTGACAAAGAACAAAAAAATATCAAATGGAAAAAAGAAAGCATATTTAACAAGTGGTGCTGTTATGGATATCAACACGTAGAAGAATGAAAATAGACCCACATCTATCACCATGCACAAAACTCAAGTCCAAATGGACCAAAGACCTCAACATGAAGCCAGCTACACTGAACCTTATAGAAGAGAAAGTGGAAAGTACACTTGAACACATTGGCACTGGAGACCACTTCCTAAATAGAACCCCAGCAGCATAAACACTGAGAGAAACAATAAATGGGACCTCCTGAAACTGAAAAGCTTCTGTAAAGCAAAGGACATGATCAACAAGACAAAACGACAGCCTACAGAATGGGAAAAGATCTTCACTAACCCCATATCAGACAGAGGTCTGATATCCAAAATACACAAAGAAGTCAAGAAATTGGTCATCAAAAGAACACATAATCCAATAAAAAAAAATGGATTCATTGTTTGGAGGAGAGTGCTCATCAAGGCTTTTCTGTCCTGCATCAAAAAAAAAAAAAAAAAAAATGGAGCCAGGTGGTGGTGGCGCACGCCTTTAATCCCAGCACTCGGGAGGCAGAGGTAGGCGGATCTCAGTGAGTTCGAGACCAGCCTGGTCTACAGAGCTAGTTCCAGGACAGGCTCCAAAGCCACAGAGAAACCCTGTCTTGAAAAACCAAAAAAATAAATAAATAAAAAATAAAAAAATGGAGTACATACCTAAACAGAGAACTCTCAACAGAGGAATCTAAAATGGGTGAAAGACACTTAAGGAAATGTTCAGCATCCCTAGTCATCAGAGAAATGCAAATCAAAACAACTCTGAGATTCCATCTTACACCTGTAAGAATGGCCAAGATCAAAAACACTGATGACAACTTATGCTGGAGAGATTGTAAGGAAAAGGGAACACTTCTGCATTGCTGGTGGGAGTGCAAGCTGGTACAACCCCTTTGGATGTCAGTGTGGCGATTTCTCAGAAAATTAGGAGACAACCTTCCTCAAGACCCAGTAATACCATTTTTGAAATATATCCAAAAAATGTTCAATTTTGCCACAAGGACATGTGCTCAACTATATTCATACCAGCATTGTTTGTTTAGCCAGAACCTGGAAACAATCTAAATGCTCCTTGACCAAAGAATGAACAAGGAAAATGTGGTACATTTACACAATGGAGTACTACACAGCAGAAAAAAATAATGACATCTTGAATTTTGCAGGAAAATGGATGGAGGTAGAAAACATCATTTTGAGTGAGGTAACCCAGACCCAGAAAGACAGTTATCACATGTACTCACTCATATGTAGTTTTTAAACATAAAGCAAAGAAAGCCAGCCTACAAACCACAATCCCAGAGAACTTAGACAACAATGAGGACACTAAGAGAGACTTACACAGATCTAATCTACATGGGAAGTAGAAAGTAGAGAAAGACAAGATCTCCTGAGGACCTTGGGGGAAGGTTGAAGGGGGGAGAAGAGAGGCAGGGAGGGGAGCTGAGAAAAATGTAGAGCTCAATAAAAATCAATTAAAAAAAAAAAAGAATGTAGAGCTAATGGGCCAAGCAGTGATTAAAAAAAAAATCCTTCCTCCAAAAACCAAAGGCTGGGAATGTAGGTCAGTTTACAGAATACTAACCAAGAACTCACAACACCCACCCTGTATTTGATCCCAGCACCAAAAGGCAAGAGGGGCAGGATGAGAAAATTCTACATTTCTTGACACGAAAGATACTCCATAAATATTGGGGGGGGGGGGTGTTAGGCGTAGTAGTACACATCAGGAATATGCCAGAAATTCCTACTATAGAGAAGCTGAGGATGAAGGATCATTTGAGATCATGAATTCAAGGCCAGCCCAGGAAACACAGTGAGACTCTTATCTATAAAAAAAAAAACAAAAACGACTATTTTCTATCTAATAAGATGGCACCAATTTAGAAAGTTGCTAATACAGTAGAAGAAAAGGTGTAAGGAAAAATACTGTATTGCTGGCTAAACTCTAAGAATCACCTCAACTTATAGCACTGGCATATTGAGACATTAAAGAGGACTGGGGATGTAACTCAGTGATAGAGCACGTGCATAGTATGAACAAAGCCCTTAGTTCAACTCTCAGCAATAAAAAAAAAACTAAAAACAATACACAGTATTATAAGAGCCACTGAGGTAGCTCAGTAGGTAAGAACCTGCAGTCTAAGTCAAGCACAAAGACAACATTGTGTTGTCTCTAGAAGTGTAATTGGAGTTGGATAAAGGAGACTAAGAGTTTCTAGTTGCTGTATACTTTACAGGCCACTTTTTGAGTCAGTTTCCAGAGCTCAGCACTTTCCAGTACCTGTATTGACTGAAATGCCTTCGCCTGCCAACTCTGCCTCTGCAGGTGTGGAGCTGCTGGCTGGAGCTCTGTCTCTGTCTTCATGGTCACTGTCCTCATCCTCGCTGGTGCTGTAATAGTACTGTAGTTTCTCCCCCAGCAGTTTATCATCCAGGGTTGTCATGGTGCCTGGAAAAGGGCAATAACTGTATCAAGGATTTTTGCTGACTTGAGCAAGGACACAAATCTGACCCATACGAGGTGCTCTTGTGCTGACATCAGAATTTTTCAATAAGCAGAATCTCAACAAACCCCAACCCTGGCTCTATGCCATAGTTTACCCGGTCTTCTGTTATAGAAGGCATAAGCGAGGCTTAGATAAGGGGTGTTTCTTTCAGCTGATAACAGATCCACAGATGTGTTCCTGTGTAATCTTGTGCACTGGGTAAGAGCAATCTACTGGCTGGTGACTTTATTCATACACACTTCCAGTTTGAAGACTGCTAGCTAACAAACTGGGGAAAGGTTCTCAGGGAAAACATCAAAAGGGACAACCAAGAGTATAGTTTTGCAACTAAATTGTTCACTCCTCTTCCTCACTAAGGCTGGCCTCAAGCTGTACCAACTGTGATGAGCTAAAGCAAGTTTCTACGACAAGATTTAAAACAATAACCAAATGTTTAAAGAACACGGAAGACCCAGCTATTTTGGGGAAGCGGTATAGTCAGCTCCTTAAAAGTTTGTTTGAGGAACTAGCAGGAATGATTAGAATAAAAGAATAATCTGGATGTGACAGTGCACACCTTTAATCCCAGCACTCAGGGGGCAGGGGCAGGTGGATCTCTAAGCTGGAGGCCAGCCTGGTTTACAGAGTGAGTTCCAGGACGGCCAGGGCTACACAAAGAAAACTAGGTCTAGAAAACCATTCCCCACCCCACCCCCCAAAAAAAGGAAAGAAAGAAAGGAAAAAGAATACAAAACGGCACTTCCTCTAAGCATACAAACACCTTGCTGCCTTCAGGAGAGACGATACACGACTTTTACAGGATTACAATGTGCCTATCTCCCACAGAACAGAAACACAACAGTCAAAACAGAGCACTGTGCAGGTCAAATGGAAGAAAACTTAAAAAAAAAAAAAAGACACCCTTTGTCAGGGGTGCACAACGAAATCCGAGAGACAGGTAAAGATAGGTTATCAGAGATGTGCAGGGGCCAAAAGAGAGAAGAGTGCTGAGGAGGCTGAGCAGCTGAGGTGAGGAAGGCCTGCACTCTCCGTGTCGCGGGTGGGAAGACCATGAAGAAGGCGGTCTAAGGAGAAGGCAGTGAGATGGGCAGGGCCAGAGAAAGGCTTGCAGGAGAAGCAAGGGAGAGGAGGGCAGGGTAGGGAAGAGTTCAAAGAGAGGGCAGGCAGGGCTGAAGAGAGGGCAGCAGAGAAGGGCGGGGCGGAGCTCAGGAGACAAGAGGGTGGGGGGCGAGAGGCTGAGCAAGCGGCCGTGAAGGCGGAGCCACACGGGGCTGATCAGGAAAAGAGCCCTGAGGAAGGCGGGGCCAGGGAAGAAAACCCATGGGAGGGCGGGGCTGAGGAGGCAGAACAATGCGGAAGGTGGGCTGAGGAGGCGGAGCAGCGTGGAGGGCGAGGCTGGAGAGGGTCACAGCGAGGAGGGCGGTCCTGATGAGGGGGGAGAGCGGAAGCCCCTCTCGCCCAGGCGCGCAGCCCCGGCCCCACCCAGGCTAGGCCCGCCGCTCCCTCCCGCTGAGGCCGGTGCGGTTACCTCGCCTCGCTCAGTCCGTCCCTCCAGTCACCAGCACGGAGTGCTCGCTAGGGGAAACCAGGGCCACACCGCCTTGAGCGACGGTGCAAAGCTGCCGAGAGCGGACTGTGCGGACCAATCAGGAGGCCTTCCGGCGTCATGGCGGACGCACGCTGCCCAATCACAAGAAGCTTATCCTGCATGGGGGGGGGGGGGACTACGGGTACTATCTTAGGACAAAACTCTTCAAAATTAAGTTTGAACTATGAATTTCTAGTCTTAAATAATAAGAAAAGTTTATCAACTTCCCTTCCAAGTTTAGAAAGAAGTTCCGAAAGCGTTTTCTTGGTTTTTCCTTTTTATGTCTATTAAAACGAAGAAATGGGGCTGGAGAGATGGCTCAGCGGTTAAGAGCATTGCCTGCTCTTCCAAAGGTCCTGAGTTCAATTCCCAGCAACCACATGGTGGCTCACAACCATCTGTAATGAGGTCTGGTGCCCTCTTCTGGCCTGCAAGCATACACGCAGACAGAATATTGTATGCATAATAAGTAAATGAATAAATTAAATAAATAAAACGAAGAAATGGCCAGGCGGAGGTGCTGCACGCCTTTAATCCTAGCACTTGGAGGCAGAGACAGATGGATATCTGTGAGTTCGAAACCAGTCTACGCTATAGAACTAGTTCCAGGGGGAGAGGAAAGGAGGGGAGGGGAGAGAGGAGAGAAGGGAGGGGGAACAGCTCTCCAGAAACAACAAAACGTTTATTTCTTCAAGGATTAGTAACCCAAAGAACAGAAATTAAAACTTAATAAAATACAAATCCAAGCCCTTAACAACCAAAAGTATGACATCCTGAATTGGATTATTGGACAGGAAAACGGTATGGAGAATTGAAGAATTTGAATGCCTTCTATCAACTAATATTAGTTAAACAGTTGTTGAATCAGTAGTTTGCATAATTCTACGATTATATATGGTGATAACCTTGAAAATTCTAGATAAAGAGATTTAAAAAACTATCCTATTTTTGCAAATTTTGTTAAACCTAACATGATTTCAAACTGTGAGTGTTAGTTGGAGTGTCTATACACAGCTGTGAAATTTCTCATTAAAAACCGTGTGCAAATTAAATCGGGAGGCAGAGGCAGGCGGATCTCTGTGAGTTCGAAGCCAGCCTGGTCTACAAGAGCTAGTTCCAGGACAGGAACCAAAAGCTACAGAGAAACCCTGTCTCGAAAATCAAAAAAAAAAAAAAAAAAACCTAGATTTATATGAAATACATTGTTTAAGATAGGGTTCAATTTGAAGAAAGAGGTTCTCTTTTATGGTTCCAGGATCACCTAAACATTACTGCAAATTTGTCTATATGCACATTTTCTTCAGAAGTTATTTGTTCAGGCTAACAGAAACAGCATCCTCCAGCGCGCGCGCACACACACACACACACACACACACACACCAATTTAAAGCAATTCCCTTTAAAAGCTCCGTTGTGCAATAAATACCTTATTTATTTATACCTTTTCAGTTGTATATGCATAGTAGACTTTAAGTTTGTGATCTGCTTTTCTGCTTTAAGTGGCACAACCAGCACTCAGAAAGAGTGACTCTGCAAACAAAAAAAAAGTCCCTATAAATATTTTTAATGAATACTTGAGGGCCAGTGAGATGGCTCGTCCAGCTAGGTGTCTGGGCACCTGAGTTCAGTCCCTGGGATATGCATGGTGGAAGGCAAGAACTGACTCTGAAAGATATCCTCAGACTGCTACAGAGAGTCATCTTCCCCCAATCATGTAAATAAATAAATCAATGTTAAAACATTTTTCATATATACTTAGTAAACACTTTCTCTTTAATTTTACTTTTATTGAGCTCTCCCTAATGAGGCTGTCTTCTTCATCTTTTAAAGTTTTTAAAGTCCGGCTGGGCGGTGGTGGCGCACGCCTTTAAGCCCAGCACTTGGGAGGCAGAGACAGGTGGATCTCTGTGAGTTCGAGGCCAACCTGGTCTACAAGAGCTAGTTCCAGGATAGGATCCAAAGCTACAGAAAAACCCTGTCTTGAAAAAAAAACATCACTTCAGTACTGCCCAACAATCCTCCACTTCCTTGGGCAATTGCTACTCTCATTATAAGAAAAGTAATTCATATCTATTCTTTCAAATTTCAATACCTCTTCCCCTTCCCTCAATCAGATAAACTTGACTTTTGTTAACCTGAAAAATAAAAACAATCAGAAGAGCCTTGCACTTGATTCAACAACCAAAACGCACCCAGTGTTTTCCTACAACCACTCACTAAATGAATCACTGATACTGTTCCTTGAACTAATAGCACTATTTGTCTCTTCCTCCCCTGTTTTATAAGGCTTCCTTTCTATAGCATATTAATATACTTTCTCATCCTTAAAACAATATTAATACTATTGTTTACCTTTATGATTATTGAAAGTCTAAAATTGAGGACTATATCAATATTGAAAACATGTGTACCTTTTAGCTTAATCATTCCACTTATGGAGGTTCAACTTATAGACAGGGTTACAGGTATATATTATTTCATTTAATAATGAGTTTTTACTTATTAATAGAGTAACTGATGAGAAGGTTGGAGGCACACACCTGCAGAAGTCCCAGTACTTAGGACCATGAATAGGAGGGTTACTGTAGCCCAACACCAAGTTGGTCAAAAGAGACCCTATGTCAAAACAAAATAAATAGATCAGTATATATCAGTCCTATGTCTGCATAAAATAACTATATAAACAACATTTATTATATATACATAAAGACAAAGATAGAAAGCATAGGTAAATATATAAGAAATAAGTTACATTTGCAGAGCAAATGAGAATCAGAAGTACAAGAGACACTACTTTTTTATTTTTCAAGACAGGGTTTTACTGTGTAGCCCTGGCTATCCTGGAACTAGCTCTGTAGACAAGGCTGGCCTCAAACTCACAGAGATATTCACCTGCCTCTGCCTCCCAAGTGATGGGATAAAGGGGTGTGCCACTACCACACAGTGATAATTATTTACACAAATTTATATGTAATTTTTAATCATCTAAATGCTATTACCTATTATAATATTATCTTGGTTGCTGTTCTATTGCTGTGAGGATATACCATGATCAAAGTATTTAATTGGGGGCTTGCTTACAATTAAGAGCAGTGTCTCACAATCTGTAGGCCATTACCCCTTTGGGAGTCAAACGACCCTTTCACAGAAATCACATATTAGATATTTACATTATGATTTATAACAGTAGCAAAAATTACAGTTATGAAGTATCAATAAAATAATTTTAATGTGGTAACCATAACATGAGGAACTTTATTAAAGGGTTGCAGTTTTAGGATGTTGAGAACCACTGTTTCAGAGGGTTACTTTATGATCATTATAGCAAAAAACAGACAGGCATGGTGCTGGAGCAGTAACTGAGGGTTTTAACGTTCTGATCCACAGTCAGAGAGAGAGATGCTGTACTTAGGATGGGCATTTACACATCTGCAGCAAGGCTACACCTCCTAATCCTTCCTAACTAGTTCCACAAATTGAAACCAAGCATTTAAACATATAAGTCTATGAGGGGCATTCTCATTCAAACCACCACAAATAAACTCATTTTTTAATTATTTATTTATTTATTTGTTTGTTTGTTTATTTATTATGTATACAGTGTTCTGCCCACAAACATGCCTGCAAGCAAGAAGAAGGCACCAGATCTCATTATAGATGGATTTGCTGGGAGTTGAACTCAAGACTCTGGAAAAGTAGTCTGTGCTCTTAACCTCTGAGTCTTCTCTCCAGCCCCCACAAACTCACTTTTTAAAAATATAAGCTACTTCCTTCTTCCACATCCCTCTGACCATATCTCAGTTTTCTGACTCTTCTTATAAGACTCCAAAAATTCTAGACATCTGTTCTTGCATTTCTTATTTGTGATACACACTACAAGTTAAAGCCTGTTCCCACTAGTCCACTGAAGCCATGGGCATCACAATAACCACAGATTTCACAAGGTAGCCTTTGTAGGTCCTTTATAAGTTTTTGTTTGTGTTTTAAAGTTTCCTTTTTCTTTTTTCTTTTTTTCTTTCTTTCTTTCTTTTTTTTTTTGGTTTTTGGTTTTAGGAGACAGGGTTTCTCTGTATAACAATTCAGACTGTCATGAAACTGATCTCAAACTCACAGAGATCTGCCTCTCTCTGCCTCCTGAGTGTTGAGATTAAAGGTGTGCCTCCTGTTAAAAACAAAAAAAGGCTTATATTCTATGTATTTCAGTGCTCTATCTACATGTGTGCCTGCATGCTAGAAGAGGGCATCAGATCCCATTGCAGATGGTTATAAGGCACCATGTGAACTCAGGCCCTCTGGAAGAGCAGTTCTCTTAACTGCTGAGCCATCTCTCCAGTCCCTGTTTTCTTTTCATTTTTATTTTATGTGTATGAATGTTTGCCTACGTGACTATAACTGTACCACATGTGTTCACTGCTTGCCAGATAACTGTCACATCCCTGGGACTGAAATTACACATAGTGAAAGCTGTCGAGTGGGTGGGAACCAAACCCAAGTCCTCTTCAAGAGCATCCAGTGCTCTTAACCACTAAGCCATCTCTTTAGTCCCAATTCTATGGCCTTCTTTCTCCATTCATTACTTTCTCCCATTTTTACCAACTCCATTGAGGTTCTTGGTGACCTCTCTGCTTCCTTGCCTCTAAATA